AAAATATGCTTTATAGTGAACTAATGCATTATTTAAATAGAATTAAATTAAATTTATAATAGATTTATTATAACTGTACAAAACCTAAAATAACAGATCTCCAAAAGCCAATTTAGCAAAAAGGAACACGCTTAGGTATCAACAAACATCGACCTTTTTTATATATAATATTGGTAAACCGAATATTCAGAGACAACTAAAGTAGATCCCAAATGGTATTTCCGAATGTGAATAATAATATAGCTGTTTGATATTGTCAAAATTTAAATTTAGTATAATTTTATTTTGGTCTCCTCGGTACTGTCTCACATTTAGATAGAAATGCGCAAGTGTTATCAGAGACTCGCTCATGATCGGTCGAATGAGTACCATGCTTTGATTTGTTTGCTTAAAAACGTGTATTTTGGGTGTTAACAAGGTACCATTGAAGCCGGCCGGCTAGAGGAGAAGCAACCTTTGTGGGGTGAGTCCATTTTACCTTAGTGTGAGGTTACGCTATTTAATTTCTTGTATAATTGAATGATTGATTTTTCTTTTTGATAATTATGGTAATATAAAACAATAGCTAAATCAATTTTTATATCGAAATAATTGTATTTATTGGTTTAAATGAGCTTACAGAATTTAACAATAGGGTTTAGGGTAATGTCTAGGTACATTGTGCCTTCTATACATGCAGTTTAATTGAAGAATTGGGGTATTTTTTTACATGAACTTTTTTTGTATATTGTGATGCTAACGTATATATAATATATATAAATATATATAAATATTGTTTTAAATTGAAGAAATTCAATACATAAATATTTTCAGTTTGGTAAAAGTTAATTTTAAAATAATTTACAATAACAGTTTAAAAAGTACAATAGAGATTATAAAATACATACAGTTTACAAGATTTTTTTATTTGTTAAGTTTCATCCTTTAAATTTCTATATTATTAGTCAAATACAGTAATAGGTTTTTACTTTTTAAGTCCGATAATTCAAATTTCGTTGTTTGAGTGAGATATTAATTTTAGAATTTTGAAACAAACACTATCAAAATTAATTGCGGACAAATGAAAATGTCTTATTTCATACTATCATATAGCTATGTGTTTAAATAACTGAGTATTTCATAGTTATCTTATATTTTGTGAATGCAGGTGGGAACATTGTTAGTACTATATTGAGTTTGGTGCAGAATGCTTTGAGATATCTACGCAAAGCGTTCTGCGATTTTATTTACGTCACTGTCGAGTCAGATAGAGACCAGTGCTATTAAACAAATTACTTTTTTACATTTATTACGCTTTTAAATCCGTTTCAGATGTCACGATTATACCGTTGACGAACTATAAACTGAGATTCTTCATTTCGCATAAATTTCTCATGTTCTCGAAATTACTATCTAGAGAACATTAAAAACAACTGTTTGAGAAATTTATGGACACTTCAAAACTATATTATTATTATATTATATAAACTATATTCACAAATCAAAACTATATTATTATTTATTTTAGATGGCCTGTAGTTAACTTTGCTATACATAATCTGTAATCGTAAATCATACGGGATGTTCAAAATTCTATGCCAAACTTTCTAAAATGTAAAATAATATTTCTTTGTTATTTTAAATGAAACACCCTGTATATTATTTTTTTAATAGATGGAGGATTAAAAAATGAGCATTTTTTGTATTCCGCGTATTTCCAATTTGTTAACGGTTTCGCACATATTCGCAGTTTTATATTTCATATAACATTTTCTGGAGTAAATTTTCATCAAAGCCACCCAGTGATTTTTCTCTCGTATTTTATTGTTTAAAGATCCATATGAAATAATAATGCCTGTATCTGCAAAACTACTAAATATTCTGAAATACTTTAAATGCAAAAAATGTTAGTTTTTTAATTCTCTATCTAATACGAAAATAATATACAGTGTCCATAAAAAAAAGAAAAAATATATATATTTTAAAAAGTTTGGCGTAGAATTTTGAACAGCCTGTATGATTTAAAATTGCAATATTTATAGCAAAGTAGGTATAGACCTTCTAAAGTAAAGACCTAGTATAGTTTTGATTTCAGGACAGTGTTTGTATTTGTGATATTTTTTTAAAGGAAGTTGAAAAATATATATTTTGTATTTATTTATTAATATCTCTGAAATTAGTGAAATATATTTACTCATATCTTAGGATTATGTAAAGTTAACTGAAAGGAAGCCAAAAATGCAATTAAGTATGTGTTGGTGTGACAGATATGTATGACTATACAGTGTATGTCTAAAATATGTGCAAATATTTTCAGAGCTGGTAGATCTCGATAATAGAAACATATCTTTTTTTAACTGTTTTTCAAACAATTCCAAAATAACCGAGATATTTTACTTTCAAAATTTAAAAAAATGGAACAACAACAGGATATTTTCTTTAGGAGTTTCCTTCCTTTGAAAATTTCAAAAAAATGTTTTAAAAAATTCCAAATTTTCAATTCTTTTTTCACGAAAAAAACTCTTAAACGTGTTTCTTACGGCGAAATACAGGATGTCCCAGGCTAAGCGTGCATTAGAAGTTTCTAGAAAACTACAATATCTAGATCGGAGATTTTTTGCACATCATTGTTATACAACGAGACCGATCGATTAATTTTTTTATAATATGGCGGCACTTCCGGAGATACCGGAAGTTGACCGCAATTTTCTTATTTTAAATGGATGCCCCCATTTTTTATTACATACTTAAATTCTCTGTAAAATTCAATGAATTTTTTTATTAAACACTCTATACTTAGCATTAACCGTTTTTGAAAAAAAAATTTAATTTTTGGACGAAAAAAACTGCCTGTCAAAAATATGTGTAAACGTCAAATTTAGTGATTACTACAGCCACTGTGCTATAAAGAGAAGACATTTAACGCAAACAATTTAATTATTTCAAAAACTAAATTGTTCAAATGTCATATAATAATGGCCGCAGCTGTCATGGTATGGAGCGATTAAAAAATTATCAGAAATATTTTTTTTTTAATGGAAATCCTAAATCCGCTTTTTTATTTTACTAGTGAAAAGTCGTTACTTTTTGCCTATATATGTTCCTATATCTAACACAAATCGTTATTTATGATTTAGTTTTAAAGCGTATATTTTTATTGCAAGAAAACCGCATACCAAAATCTCTGGTTTACGGTGAGCTTGTAGACGGTAAGAGGAGGCCGGGTGGACAACTCAAAAGGTACAACGGAAACTTAAACGGGGATTAATACGCAGAATGAGTGGGAAGAAACAGCTCACCATAGAACTCAATGGAGAAGAATTGTAAACTCAGTTAACAGCGACAACCAAAAAGTAAAGAGGCAACAAAGCAATGAGATTTTTGAATGTCCGGAGTGCGGTAGGCAGATAACACCTCGTATCTGGCTTTTTCAGAGAAAAGCTCATTAAAGAAAACGCCTTGCGTGAAAATCTTCTGATGCGTGTCAAATACTCGTCAGCAAGTAATGGCAGTATGTAGTATGTATGCATTAAAACTTCAATTCTTTGTGTAAACGAAAACGGCATTGTACTTCAAAGCAAGGGAATGTTTAATTGATAACAAAATGCTCTAACACTCAAGTGACAAGGCTAACAATAAGACTGGTGTTTACTTAGCCTGTGCCTACCTGCAGTTATGAATTAAAAAAAAATATTAAGATGTTTTTTGATAGCGTAAAGTTTTTTTTTGTAAACAAACGGTTTAGTAATAGAGACCTATTAACCCATATAGCGTTAAATTGGTCTCGATGAGCTATATCGATATTCGTCAAAATATACGGGGCATTCCATTTAAAAAATTGAAGTGTCACGTGATATTTTTTGGGGTCACCCTTTATAATAGCAAATTAGTTAAAAAAATATATATTTTTCTTGATTTTAAAGAGTAATGTAAAACAATAGATCTGGCCATGTCGTACAGTGACACTCGTTTAAAAAGCAGTATGTTATCGATCATCATTTCCAAGCCAATTTTGCGTTTTTTTTTGTCAATCATATGATAGATTATTAATAATAATTAATAATATCAGCTATTAGATATTATTAAAGAGCGAAAATGCGAGATATATATTTCTATAAATACACTTTTTAAACTCTTAAGCAGGCAGCATTTATAATATAGGAAATTCAAATGATTCGTTTCCTGACAGATGGAAATAAATTGTTTGACTGTTTGACACTTAATGTCAAAGGAAGCTAGATAAAATCAAGTAAAATATACGTTTTCAAAATAAATCTTAAATAACTTAAAAACGATTTATTTTAGGTATAGGAACATGTATAGTTAAAAAGTAACGAATTGAAAAACCTTTTCACTAGTGAAATAAAAAAAGTTACTTTCCATTTGAAAAAAAAAACGATTTATGATAATTTTTTAATGGCATAATTTCATGACAGCTGTCGCCAATATTATATGACATTTGAACAACTTAATTTTTGAAATAGATAGCTACATGTCTTGTCTTTATGCCAGAGTAGCTGTGGATTACCACAGCTACTCTAAAATAAAGCTAGCCCAAAAGTAAATTTTAGTGATTACACTAAAATTTACTTTTGGGCTATACAATTTTCTTGACAGGTACTTTTTTTCGTTCAAAAATTTTTAATATTTGTTTTCTTCAAAACGGTTAATGTTAGGTATAGAGTGTTTAACATCATAATTCATAGAATTTTACAGAGAATTTAAATATGTAATAAAAAAAGGGGAGCACTAATTTAAAATAAGAAAGTTGCTGTCAACTTCTGGTATTTCCGGAACTGCCGCCATATTGAAAATATTTTTAATCGATAGATCTCGTTGTAAAACAATGATGTGCAAAAAAATCTTCGATCTAGATATTGTGGTTCTCTAGAAACTTCTAATGCACGCTCAACCTGGGACAGCTTATATACTACCCCAAAAATATTTGCACTTATTTAAAACTGACCCTGTATGGTAAGAAATAAATAATATATTAAACCATAAGGATCAAGTTTACTTACGACAAGAGTATTTCCTAGAGCGCCCAGCACAATTAGCACACCGTACATAACAGCCAGCACAGTATAAGCCGGTTCGTCGATAGCCTTGTTTGTCAGATAGCGCTCATACAGCTTCGGATCGACCGTGCTGCTTTTGTTCAGGACCTCGTTCAGCGTGTTGTTGTCGAACCGGTGGATTTCGTCGCCCATTTTGTCCGCGTCTCCTTTAATCAGGTGCACGAAAATGTAAGAGAACATTCAAGAAGCGTAGGAGAACATTCAAGACGGGCCAGACTAATGAAATCCAGTGGAGTGAGACGAGTGTTTACGCTGGTCGGTGTGGATTCATATTGAGTTAGCCTTGTGGTGGTTTATTGATGCTTGGTATCTGAAAACAAGAAGAGATATTTTGATTAGTTAATATTTAGTTAAAATTTAAATCTTAATTTTAGTTTTTTAAAAATTTTAATTTCATTAACTCTAAGGCTTCATTCATAACTTGGAAATTAGTGATTTCAATTAGCGTAGAAGTTTGTTTCTCTAATTTCGATGTAAGCATTCAGAACGTCAGAATTAGTGATTGTAATTTTCAATTAACGAGTAATGTCATTATGGCTTTTGATTATCATCCGTTAGGAGAAATTGTGTTTCAAAAACAATATTTTTTTCAAACGTCACAAAAGTATTAATTTTTGCGACGTGATTGACAATATAAAAAAGTCATTTTAACGCATAGGCATAAAAGAAAAGCAATTTTACGCTTAAACATAAGAGTACGAAAATAGTTATTAACAGTACAAGTGTGTTTTTAACATGATTACAACAACGAGTGTGAACGATTAGAGCGACGAGGTCGTAGACCGAGTCGTTCTAATCACACGAGTGTTGTAATCATGTTTAAACTTTTATTAACAACGATTTATCTACAACCGAAAAATAAGAAAATGCTGTTTTAATTTTCGTTTATTAGTCGCCCATCTTTAACACCTTTAACTATGACATTTGTCAGATTTTTAAAAGTCAGTTTGCCCTGTCAAGTAGACGCGAACACGCTTTGCCCAAAAAAATCATTTTAAAAATTAAGATGAGCGATTCCGGAAGTCTCCCTTCAGATATAGAAGTTGCCGCAGTACGTGCCACGGAATCATTATTGCCGGAAATGTGCGATCAAAATATGAAAAATCATACAACCCGTTATAGTCATCATCCTCAGCAGCAAGAATTGTTTTGAAGAAGTGTAAAAAATGTGTTATTAATATTTATAATAACTAGTATTAGGAATTTGTATCAAAAATTAATATATTTAGATGTTAGTAGGTAGTTGTTTTTCATTATTATAAAAACTAGTTGTGTTAGAGATTCATAACACCACTAGTTGTGTTATGAATCTCATAACGTAACTGAAATACTAAAAAAATAGTGACGTTAAAAACGTTATAACTAAACGGTTGTAGATAAAATATATATATTATTAATCCTTGGGCAGGCGCGTACTTCAGAATCACACGACCGGGCGCGTAGCGGTATTCCGTACCGCATTTATATTTTTTAAGTATTCTGTAATTTAAAATATTTTTTTGTAAAATTTAGCATGCCAAACAGTAAAAAGCAACATTTTTAATACATAATATTTACTTTATTAACACAAAAAAAAACTTTATTATAAAAAAAAGAACCAAACGAAACATTTTTAGTGTTCAAAATAAAAAAAATAATATTGCTCAAATCCCTTTAAATAATCAAAAAAATTTTAACCACTGGAAGAAGATGAAACTATAATCTAAATGTTTTAGTCAGCTTCTGTAGATAAGAAACTAGTAGTTTTATGGGTTTCACTCCACCAGGGACCAACTCGTTTCTTATTGTCTCTAACTAGTACCTTTATCTCTGAAGCATATTTAGCGAGAAAAACTTGGAAATCTCTGGGAAAAGTTTGTATACTTTGTATATTCCGTCATTTACTACAGGTTATATAACATATATTTAAGAGATTATGATAAAATCAATCGAACAAATTAATTAACTATTTAAAATTACACCAAATAATGCTAAATAATTAAATATTATGATAACTATTTTACTTACATAACAGGGCGCGTAGCGGCACGGAGTACCGCAACTTTAGTTACAAGTTGGAGTGTGCAACTGTAGTTGCACAAAATTCCCGATACGTCCGGTCAATGGCTAAACTGACATAAAGTGACAAATTCTACGAGCGTAACCAGAGTTTCTCGATATACAGGGTGTCCCAGAAATAAGTGCAAATATTTTAAGGGGTGGTAGATCCCGATAAAAGAAACATATTTTCTCTTTACCGTTTTTCAAATAAGTCCAATATAACGGAGTAATTTTACTTTCAAAATTTGCAAAAAAATGATTTTTTGCTAAAATTTTGAAAACCACTGGATCTTTTCTGAATTTTCTTTCTTGTAAATTTAATCTAAAATACCTAGGTTGCCAATTTATCAAGAAATTATGTTTTTTAACTAAAAACTAAAAAAATTTCCAAAAAATTTTTCAAAAAATTTCGAATTTTCAAATTTTTTTTTGCGAAAAAAACCTCATAGGCGTGTTTCTGGGGTTGAAATATACTACCAGTTAAGATATTTGCACTTAATTCTGGGACACCCTGTATATTTACATATGACACAGAACGAATGAATTATATGCATAATATGAATTATTCGGCACATACAAAGTATGACTTTTAATTTTTTTATATTGTTTGAAACTCTTGAAATTGTTTAAATACTTATTTCTGGCGCTTGAAAAAAAAATTAGCATGTTCTATTCGGAGTAAAAATAATTTTTTGTGCCTCGGCTGTACTCAAGCGTAGAGCCTGTCATTTAAGTGTCATTTTTACACCTAGTGAAACAATAAACTATTTTTTATAAGTTAATTATTGGCTGTCTCTATGGATACAACTGACTACTGCAAACTATTGCTAGAATATTCTTTTAGATATAGTTTTATTTTTTAAGTATTGTGTGAATGATTGTAAACTTTTAAGTATAAAGTATAATTGAAAGCACTAATTTATTATATTAATTTCGAGGTTCCGAATATGGCTTAATTTCTTTTATTTGTAAAATTAGGTCATTACAAATTTTGTTGACTGGACAAAAAACATGACAATAATAAATGAAAATCTGAGATTCCATAAAAAAAAGCGTAAGGTTCGAACAAGATCCATCCAATACCGACAAATTTTACATTTCTGTAAAGTGCCATCGACAAAGGAAATCTTTATGGATAATCTATAAAATAAAATTTCAAAGGGTCCTTGAAGTTTCGTCGCTGAAAAGTCTTGAGGAGCGTTTTGGGTACCAACCGTAAATACGGCAATTATTTTGAAAGGATTGTAAGGATATGCGTATAATACAGCCTGGATATATTTATTTTTATTTCTAAAAATATGCACATAGATTTGATTTTGAATATTTTTTACAGATCCAATACTATTCGATTCAACTGTGTGTATGTGTGTGTGTGTGTGTGTGTGTTAGTTCTAGTATGTATGTATGTTAGTTCTAGTTTTGGAGATCGCTGGTCTATATTTGACACATAATCGGGCCTAATGTCATGTTTTTATTTCCTTAATTGTGAGTACGCATAAATATGAAGTATATCTCCAATAAATCATATATAAAATAGAAAACAAATTTCTTGCAGTATAGGTTTATAATAAAATTATATAAGGATTCTTGCCACTTAACTGCTGATATCGAAATTTAATTCTACGCTGTGTTTGTCATAATGTGGATCAACCTGCTCTCACTACCGGTTTCGGAGCCCTACTCCATCATCAGGTGAGCCTGGGCAGATCCACAAAATGACAACCGCAGCGTAGAGATAGTTAATTCCGACTTGTCGGAAAGTATCGGTTAGATATTAAGTCCCGAACGGGAGATGCGGCCTGCGTGCAATGGTAGTACTTTCGTACCACTGAGGCGCAACTATTGGCAGTAAAAGGATAGTAAAAGGCTTTTCATCAGGCAAGCCAAACTATAACATAGAAAACAAATTTCTTGCAGTATAGGTATATAATAAAATTATATAAGGATTCTTGCCACTTAACTGCTCATATAGAAATTTAGCAGGTTGATCCACAAACACAGCATAGAATTAAATTTCCGTATCAGCAGTTAAGTGGCAAGAATCCTTATATAATTTTATTATATACCTATACTGCAAGAAATTTGTTTTCTATTTTATAATTTGGCTTGCCTGAAAAAAAGCCTTTTACTATCAATAGTTGCGCCTCGGTGGTACGAAAGTACTACCATTGCACGCAAGCCGCTATCTCCCGTTCGGGACTTAATATTTAACCGATACTTTCCGACAACTCGGAATTAACTATCTCTGCGCTGTGGTTGTCATTTTGTGGATCTGCTCAAGCTCACCTGATGATGGAGTAGGGCTTCGAAACCGGTAGTGAGAGCAGGTTGATCCACATTATGCCAAACACGGCGTAGAATTAAATTTCTATATCAGCAGTTAAGTGGCAAGAATCCTTATATAATTTTTTTAAAAATCATATATTGAGATATAGCAACAGCTGAAGAACTAATACATAAAATTTCGGACTTCCATTGTCTTTGTGTGTTTTGACCTACACATTGATTCAATAATATAGATAACTGATCGTTATCAAGTGTGCACTTCACTATATCTATCTTAATCCGAAGACTTATTGAGCTTAGAGGGCAAGTCATTTACTTAAGTCATCGTATACCAATTTGTTAATCGATCTAGTCAACGTACAGCCTCGCCACAAAAAGTGTCATTTTTACTCCTAATAAAGAGTATACTATATTTATAAATGCTGTAGTTTAAAAATCCAAGGAAGACAAACTTCTCATTGCCTCTTTATTTATAAGTAATAGTATATTAAACAACGAGTTTCGAAGAGGCCGTTTTGCACACGAATTCGACAGTTTATTGGCTCGAGCCGCAGGCAAGAGTCACAAGTCGAACGAGTGAACAAAAAAGTTTTCGAACGAGTTTTTTACGCTATTTTTTCTACAACTACAAATTAGCAGCAGACTCACACAGTTTTTGCCAGTTTTGTGAAATAATTTGCGATGTAATGATGACACTTTTCTGACGGCTGCGTTGCGTTTGGTGTTTCAGCTAAACATTGGAGGTTAAAAATGTTAAAATTGGCACATGTCGGTGCAAACTGACACATGTCGTGCGCTAAATCCTTAGCACACAACAGTTTGCAAAACTCCAATTTCAGATCGACTTATCCGTGTGTCAAACTGCATTTTCTAGGCTAGTCGTAGAAAAAAATATTTTTAGTTTCCAATTTTCTGTTTCAGTTGGCGAAATACCAAACTGCTTCCAGTAAATTTTACAAGTCTAATAGAATCAAGGGTGTCAAT